TCAATCACCTTTTTCAACAAGTTATCTTCCAAAAAACAAGATGGCAAGTCATGGCAAAGGCCTAATTGAGCGGTAAGTTCACCCTGGCCAAGATGTTCCATGAACTTGAACTCAAGCGCCATGGCTCGATATTTGGAACACCAATTGACCAGGGAAGGGTTTACGGCAGGACTCGATGAAGCAACTCCTAGCGGGCTAGGCGCGTGGTTGCACCTTGGGCCTGACCTCGCTCCTGAACACTGATGATGGCTGCGGACGGCTGCAGCCCCACCCGCTGCTGATGGCCTACCTGAGCCCGGCAGCTGATGACTGCTGCCCACTGATGGCATAGTCTTGTTGACCATGCGGTCACATGTTGAGGTTCCCCCCAGACCTGACGGTCTGAATTTTGCAGTTGAGATGGTGTGAGGCGGTCATAGACCCTGGACCTCCGTGAGCAAATACTCACGTATGCCCCATAGCTCCAACCGACTTGGAGATGACACCAAAGAAAGAAGTAGCGTGCTTGCTCCTAGTAGCAATGCCAGGAGCCCCTAGTAGCATCCTTGCTCCCAGTAGCGATGCCAGGAGCCCCTAGTAGCGTCCTTGCTCCTAGTACCGATGCCAGGAGCCCCTACTAGCATCCTTGCTCCTAGTAGCGATCCCAGGAGCCCCTAGTAACGTCCTTGCTCCTAGTAGCGATGCCAGGAGCCCCTAGTAACGTCCTTGCTCCTAGTAGCGATGCCAGGAGCCCCTAGTAGTGTCCTTGCTCCTATGACAAGCAATCCTTGCGTTGAAATTGATAGAATTGAATCGTCCAAGGTGTGGAATTTGGCCTGGCGCAAGTCCATGGTGTCGAAGCTGGGGTGCCCAGTGGAGATGTAGTCTGAAACAGGTCGAGCAACGGCAACACAAAAATCCTGTGAGGCTACACCGTTATGTCTTTTTTTTCCGCCTACCCCCCCCTCCCTACTTCCTGTAGTTAAGTAGGCAGGTGCCTACTTAATCAAGTTAAGGGAGAAATAGTTAGTAGCTACGAGAACGCTATTACCAACAGGACACAGGATAGCTCACTCTTCTTCAACCAAGTGCTCGCACTATTCATTGGTTCCCATATTTTTAGCGAAACTTACAGTAAGTTGTCTGTGTGAACAGCACGTGTTGAGACAAAAACTACAAGCTGCTTTGTCAAACTTGTGTTGTTTCCTCACATCCAGCTCTTGCTCTTATGGAGTGGCTAAGGCTGACATCAAAAGTTCAGATTGGTGTATATTACATTCGGCGATTCAGTGTACAGTACCATGGTCGAGCACTTGCCAAGCAAGGAAGATTTGGGCGCTGAAGGAAGAAGAAAGCTCACCCGCATGAAACGACTTTGATAAATCATTCCTTTACCTCTCCTACCTGGTACTTCTCTGTGCCGAGCTTCTGAAAACTTCTCGGAGGCATGCTTGATCAAAGCCAGCATCTTTGGCAAGTCTTTTGCGGTCCATCTGGAGGTTCTCTGCCTCCATACCGTATGCAACCGTCCGCTGCCGTCCGCTGAGGGCTTGCTCAAACCCACGAACCACTAAAGTGACATAGGCAGTGGCATGAAATTAGAAAGAATGCAGCACGAGAGAGTGCATGCCAAATGTTGCCCAGTCATTGTTTCAGGCTTCTGAACAAATCTTGGGAGGCATTTTTGTGTGAATTCCAGCATCCTTGACAAAAGAGAACAGCTTTGCCTTCTTGGACTCCACGTCCCTTTGCTTCCAACAAGGTAAGCATGTAAGGCTGAGCTGCGCACAGAGCGAGCCACTGCACTGACCAGCCGGCAGAGTGTGAAGCGGTCAGCTGCTGTGGCAGCTGGACCCTCCAAGGATGACCTCCAAACACTCAAGTTGATGTCTCTCTTCTAAACAATATCTGTGCGTTCTGAACGCCACGATTTCCACAAGTTGTCAACCTTTCGTACAAAAGAACTTGAGCAAAAGTAGCCAAATGGCATGGAATATGATGGAGTACCAGTAATGAATAGAATGACACATTGAATGATTAGGTTCATTGACAAAAGCTTGGCTCAATATCAGTGCCGGCCTCCCAACCACAAAGCACCTGCAGGGACACATGACGAATGGCCAAATGGACTTGTCTCAAAAATAATTACGGATAAAGGAGAGCTGCCTACTGTAGTGGTGGAACGGCATGAAGAGTCGTCAAAAAGACAAATGCTACGTGCAGAATAGCGGATGACGGTTCGGATTGCATGTTCAGCATCGCAAACAATCTTCTTAGATGTGAAATTCTAACAGGAGCTACGCTACACCAATATCAATTCAAAACATGTCGGTAGCCAATAGACTTTGTTTCCATCCAAGGTTGAGTCCTTCATTGTACCATGTGAAAGTGACATTTCTATATACATGTGTGATTACCATGAAGGATATAAAAAAGGGCTTGATTTCGCAACCAGTAACTCAAACCTCTGCGTGGTGCAAGCCCTTTGTTTGGGTTCAATATTTCCAGAAAAGCCCATTTCAAGAAACGATTCCAGGAAAGTGTAGTGGGATGCAGCAATTCAGCTTTGTCACTCTCTTGCATATCCTTTCCCAGACTCTTTGTCCTGGTCTATGGTACTATATCAGTCCTTGCCCCTGCAGGCAGCTACTTCTCTATCATTCTAGCTTTTGCAACTGGTGCTTTGCTCTGCTACTGGTCTTGACTCCTGCACTGGAATAGTTTGTTAACAGCATGTAAACCAATTCGAAAACAAACAGCTGTGCCTTGGAGTACAACTTCCTAAAGATGTGCACAGCAGACTCACACCCGATATACCAGCGTCTGAACCTGAAAGCTGTCTGGCAGTGGCTGCAAACCACGTTCGGACATCCGGCAGAATCAGAGTCTCGTTGGATTCTGAAACCACCTTGGTTTCAGATCTTGAAAAGAACACCAAAGAACACTGCCCTTCAGAGCGGACATGGGCCGGCCACTGCATGCACAAGTTCAATGCAAAGTCTGCAACCACTTCTCTGCTCTCACTTGCCCAGGCACATTGTGGACAAGGCTCTGAGAAATGCAAGAGGTACAACACGGATTTAGCATCGTCATCAGAGACAGCATCACACATGGCTTTGTGTTCCTCGCAACGAGTGCAGCAAGTCGGACATTTTGTCGAACGTAAGATAAGATAAGTATGTGAAGCCCAAGAAAGGCACCAAGCACTGGCAAGCTGGCGCCTTGGAGGCAAGGGGGAAGATCATCTTGCCGAAATCCCGAAACGTCATCAAGCCCAAGGCTCTGCCTCTTCGCAGTTCGAAAGGAATCGGATTGCAGGACCATCAAAGTCTCTGGAGCGAACCGGTTCGCGGGTGCTTAAGCTGACACACGAGATGGAAGGCTTGAGCCTCCTCTCCGAAGCTCTGCTTCTTGGACAATGGAGCACAGGTTGGCAAATGGCACTTTTGCCTCATGCTCCTCATATCAAAACGGTACATCTTGCAGAGTTGCAATAAGATATCAAATTTATCAAAGACTGGAGCAAATTTCTGTCAGCTCGCACAACACAAGTCCAGTCCTTCATTAGCTGCAACAGGTCAGTGTCGAGCACGTAGCCCTGCTCTCAAAATCTCTCAAAAACCGCAAGTCAGCCCAGTTCAAGGTCTCCCCACCCCTCCAGGGCTGAAAATACTCAATAAGGATGATCACTGAGAATTTGTGAACAAGTGCTGTGCTGCTTACCATTTATATATATATATATACCTCTAAGCGACGTCACCTTGCTCCTTGTGAACACGGTGGACCTTCACTCAACGCTACAGTCACACCACAAGGATCGCCTTTCCAAGAGGATCTAAGACTCTGAAAAGTGCAGCCACACCACATCCGCCAGCACCAGGTCCAATCATGGCCTGCACAACGCGCGTTCGTCCAAACCCTCCACGCTTTCAGTAAGCAAAGTATGCAGAACAGGATTCTGGCAGCGTAATTCTTTCAAGTTCAGTGGAAACACCACAACCTTCTAACACAAAATGAGAGCATGTGCAGCCTTGGCATCTTCCGCCTCAGCATCCCACGCTGCTTGCCGCACCATGGCCTGAAAAACATGCACAGCAACATCTTGAACCGGGCCAGCTTGGTTCGATTTGCCAGGAAGAAAGAAGACAAAAGACCTCGTTTCCTTGTTCCCATTAATGAGTTTGCAATTCTTCCGGATGCCAGTCACTCTAAAAGCCAAAGCGGTCCTGCAAAATCGAACGCAGGATGTACCGCTCATCAGAGCGCGTTGGTGCGCACAAGGATCCCTGCGAACAGCTTTGACAAGTCTTGTAGGTCAAAATCATCCAACCAACCTTCAGACTTAAGACTTAATTAAGGTCATCATGGGGCACGTTCAAATCGGGCACTTCCACGTTCGCATGTTCTTTCACGGTTGGCTTATGCAGAAAGCTTCTTTTAAAGCCTGCACCCCGCCTTGAAATAAAATGGCTCAGGAGCCAACAAGCGCGGCAAGTCTGCTCTTGGCGAGTCCACTCTGGGTGAGCTTCGCATTGGAAACAAGTCGGTCGCCATGTTGACATCCGAAGACGAGAAGACTGCAGTAGTACAAAGTAAACAATTATAGATTATTTCTTTTTTGAGTTACTAGCAATTTATGGCCTCCAACCGAGAAAGATCTTTGCTTCTACAAATGTGAATGGCAACACTTCCCCACGTGCGAGACCGCAGGAAAAGGATAAATGAGTTGCGGCAAGCTCTCATAGGGATCTATCTAGCATGGTATTGATAGACCAATGATTGTTTCTTGGAGCTCGTTGCACCCAAGATTCCGTTTTGTAGTTTCAGTCAGGATGGTGGTTAAAGGTGCTGCCTGCTGTTGAAAGGTGTGGCCAGGATCTTGTTAGAAGGAAAATGCCTGTTTGTGAGTCAAGTTGACTTTAGGCAGCAGAATATGATGATGCAGCGATGCGCAACTTAAAGCCACTGCAGTGCAGTTGAACTGCAAATAGTCCAAAATCAAAGAAGGGCTACAAAATCATTGTAGAGCGTGACTAGACTTCCTCTTCGCGCATTTGGATCTGATACAAACCTGTGATCCTGTCTAGGAAGCTGGACATTCTGCAAGTGCCGGAAACAAATATACCCAACTGATGTCTGAACCTTTAGCCTTACTTTAATTCGACTCTCAATTTTTATGGCCGAAAGCCGATGCATTGGCAGTCATGGCTTGCACGTAGGTTCAACGCCTCAAGGCACTTCCAAACAACCATTCGACAAGGATTCATTGGAAGCCTCTGAGGCAAAAAGGACCACAAAAGCACAAGTTCGAAGCAAATAAAGCAGACTAGTGAAGATCAAGAGAACTGCAAACCCAGCACTACCTTGCCTTTTTGCGTCAAAGAGCCTGCGCACCTGGCTGCCTGACGCTGGTCGATGATGCTCACATCAGAACCAATCTCTGCGTCAGCATCTAATATCTCAAACACCCTTCGTATCACTACAACAGCCAGTAGCCTCCAAGACAGCTTTTCTGGACCGTGAAAGCCGAAGGCCTTGCACATGCACACTCTTTCAGCAACAATCAAAGAATTGCAGTAACAAATAATCTTGGAAGTAATGAGTCATGAGTGCTGAGGGCATTCTGTCTTAATTCCTCAAGTGCTAATCAATCGCACAAAGGATGCTGCATCAGGAGGTGACCAGGGGGCTTGTGCACCTGGCATGTTTGGCTGGGCCAGAGTTGTGCATTGTAGGGGTTTGAGCAATCACTACTACAAGAGTAAACAATTGACTTGCATGCAGGTTTGAGCTGCTTCAACAGCCAACTCTTGACCTTGCACCACTTCAGAGCCAGCTTCCTCAGTCCTGTCCAGGAGCTCAAACAGATTTAAAAAATGACTAACTCGCTCTCAAAGCATTGCTGAAGTGCTATGTTTGGCTTATTCATGCCACAAGCAATTCGCGACAAAAAGGATCGTGGCTGTGGCGTAAAGTGAACAGCCGAACCGAAGCCGACAAGGAGCAAGGACGCTACTAGGGGCAAATGGCATCGCTTCTAGTAACAAGTGCCTTACTAGTAGTAACAAGAAGCTACTAGGCGCTCCTGGCCTTACTACAAGGAGCAAGGATGCTAGTAGGGGCAAATGGCATCGCTACTAGGAGCAAGAAGCTACTAGGGGCTCCTGCTTCTGACCTCTCGGGCTCCTGGTGCTGAGATGCCCTGGTCGTCCTTGCCCAAACAGGATGCGTCAAGTCACTTCAAGAGGAAACCATGGAAAGCCAACCTCATCTTCAGCGATAGGCAAGTAGAGAGCCTATGTTCAGATTGGAAACCACATCAATACAAGCTGCTACAAGCTACAAGCTTCCACTTTGCCTGTTTGTGCCATTTCCCAGCTGGCTTCTTGCCTGGACCAATACATGAACTAACAAGGAAGCCATCACAAGCCTAACCCTTGCCTTTCCCCTGTGAGCGACAGCAACGCATAATGCAAAATACCTCGTTTGAATCGCACTGTCAACTGCAAGTGAAAAACATCTATCAGAATCTATCCAAGACTGTATCCAAACACATGTTGAGCCTAAAGAGATCCAAGAGATTGACTTTCGCCCGCGTACTGCCCACTGTGGTTAGTAAAGCTGCGATCAAAGGCACCATCAGCACCAGCATCAGAAGGCACGCCAAAATCAAATACGGTGCCGGAACTTTCTCAATTGCATCCTGGCACAGCTGGTGCTGCTTCTTCAGGGTGTACGTGCGTTCAATGTGTGCGGACACACTCTTGCATGCTGATTCGATTCCAATGATCCTGTACAATTTATATTTATTCAGTCTCGGCCCTCAATTTGAGCCGATGCGTTACTGATCCTTCAAAGTCTCAAGAAAGTGTTCCAGTTCTTTGGTCGATGCTATCCTGTCAACATTCGCTTAATTCCCAAACCAATGCGGACAAACGAAAGAAGCACCCAAGGACTACCCTGGCATTGTATAGCCAAGCCAGTCCCCAGGAAAAAAGTGCACTAGCACGTTGGCACATGTTGAGCAGTTTGTAGCAAATCTGACAAGTCCGCCAGGTCAACCATGGCTGCTTTGGACTCTGCGGCAATTTCTCCTGCAACTGGGACCCAGGTGTGGTTTGCCATGCGTGATTGAATCCAATATTAAGTGTATCAGTAGTAACAAGGATTACCAGCCTAAACCCCAAACAGTTTCGGCAGGATTTGTTGCGTCAGGCGTCAGTTCGTTGAATTCCAATCTTGGTGGAATATTATGTATATATATATATCGCAATATATATATATATGTTTCTTTACATACATAAATTCCTATAGCCTCCGGCTGGTCGAGACCAGCATGTAAACAAATAACGACTTTTGGGGAACGGGATGACATCAAACTTACTGTAGAACTCAAGAAGTCATTGCATCACTGGCGCAGCCAGTGCTACCAAAAACAAGCTCAGGACAAGGCAGTGGAGAAAGGAAAAGCCAAGCGTGCATAGACCAGAAGGTGAAGAAAAGGCCCACGGCACCCTGACAAATGTGGACAAGGCCCCGGACAAGGCGGAGAAAACACGGACAAACGGACAAAGCTGCACAAGGCCCAGGACAGGGTGGAGAACACAGGGCCCACTGCGCGGCCACAGCTATCATGAACAGAACCCCTTCTTCCTAACAGAGAACCCTAACAGTACACTGCTTGAGGAACAATACCATTCAGAAACTGCTCCCTGCACATCATTGAATTTGTTGCTATCAAGTTGACACAAAACAGTCGCCTGGCAACTGGTCAGCCCAGGCACGGGCACGGACCTAATGACATAAATCGAAACTGGGAAACTGGAAAGCAGTGTCGAGCACTCATCACAGTTTCCATGCTGTTGTCCAAGTTGTACTGTCAGCTGCAAACGCATGAACCGGAAATTGATCAGAGGCATATCACGGATTTGCATGTTTTGTCAACTCAACTGCATGCATCTAGCCAAGATAGCGGCATGGGGAATGGAAGGACACTTGGCAGGGCCAGACACAGCATCCTCAACAGCATCTCAAATCATTCATTGTCTTTATTGTTGCTGCAAGGAAACTGCGGGGCGTGCAAGGAAACTGTGGGGCGCACCTCATTGTGGACCGCCCTCAAGTTTCCCCCTGGTCAACTGAATTGAGCTAAGTCCAAGCACAACAGAAGCACACAAAGTTCAAATCATTGAATTGCATGTGTAAATGTTTCAACACGTGTCTCTCACGTTTTTTCATGGATTGGTGGCCTTGCAAAAAACACTGGTGGGAGTTGGCGAAGAAACTGAAGACTTCGCAAACCCCCTTGGCTCGTATGCACAGCAGGACACGATGCTGTAAACGTAGTCTTGGACCACCCAACCAAATGCACCACTACTAGGTCCTGGACAGACTCAACACACATCTTCTGGCAAGCGGCAACAGATTCAGCCCGCACCTTCTCCTGTGCTTGCACAAACGAACCCAGGCTTGGCATACACCCTTCATGACGCTTACATGACGCTGAAGCCGTTTCCAATGCGAATGGCTCGTGCGGCCACACTGTTGACACATCTTGACACGGTTGAAACATTCTAAATTGGTTCGGGGTCTTGAAAGGCAGCCCTCATTGTTTCTTATTTCAACCACACAAAGCTGATTCCTAGTCTGGACCGCATGCCACTACACTCGGCACCAACAACCACAGCGGAGCGACTCAAACTGAAATCACATCATGACTTTTCATACGCACCGTCCTGCTCAGCGGAGGAAAACAGAACGTTGTCCTCGGGTCAACTGCGCTTGCACTTTGTCCAGTCTTCTTGTCTGCACTACGATCTAACTGAGAAGTGAGAGGACAAAAGCCAGCCCTTGCACACCCTTAGAACTAGTGATGCGAGAGTCTCCAACACTCCGGCACAGACCCCTTGACAACACCCACTTCGCTAGCAAGATTCCTTTCAAATGCTCCAAAATGCATCTGCCGTGTCCTGCTTTGTCCAATGCCCTATCGCTAGAACCCGCTTTTCGGAGGTACCCTCTTTTGCCCGAGACGGCCTTCAAACAAGGCGCAAAAAGGGCACATCAACGGCTCGGAATGTCTCAACGAAAATGCTGATAGACGCATGTTTGCCGGGTCTGATCGGTAGAACCCACTTTTCGGAGGTGCCCTTTTGCCCCGACAGCCTTCGAGCCACCCAGAAAAACTCATCCTTGTCTTTTCTGGGGGAACTTGGTGCTAGAACTTTTTCAGTCGTGTCCATTTGTGACCTCGAGATGGCCTTGGATCACACCGCAAAAATGCACCAACCAAGAACGGAGGCTTTGTTGCCGCGTCCCGCTTTGTGTCAGGAGCCTTCTTGCTAGAGCCCGCTCTTGGGAAGCATCCTTTTTTGGCGCCGACACCGAGCCTTACGCAGACACGACACAAAAGGGCACAAGCCCACTAAGCTTTCCTTCGACCCTCTGCATCTGGATCTTTGTAAGTCACTCCACAAGCCAAAACAAACACTGTAAGTCACAATACGCTACCATACTAGAACCGACAAATTTGCCAAAGCACTGCCATCGTGCTCAGTTGATGATGCAAAAAATGCTGTCATGGCCAGTTGATGACGCAAACAATGCTAGAATCAACCGCTGCGGCATCACTCGCATCACAAGGGCCCTCTATTGGTTCTTTTTTACGTGGACTGACAAGCGCATGCTCTTGAAGCTTGCAACCTTTGAGTGCCTCTCTCTGATCGTTCACCACGGTGTCACATGCCACTTTGGAAAGGAATAACTCTCTGACTGATCATCCCATTGCTTCGCATGTTCAAAGACTCTCGCATTTACCTCTATTGCAGCAACTCGACAAAACCACCAAGCGACAACTTGAGGTGCACCTCTAAGATCTCTAAGACTCTATGATTCTCTTCCCACCATGATTCCAAACCCCAGACAAGACAGCGTGCTTTCTTGGTTCAACCAAAAAAACGGCACATTGTTCAAACCGCTGTCTGGGAAACGGACTAAAAAGCAGTCAGGCTGTGCTTGAATGACCATGCTCAATGGAAATCCTGCCTAAAATCGATTGAGACGAACCATCGCTGTTGCAAAGTTCCAAAATTACAGAATGCTGGCCTCCACATCGCTAGAGCCAATATCAGGCTCATACCTGTTCAGTCAAAAAACCAGAAACACAGAAACAGCTAACAGCTGCATATCGCCGCGAAGTCTGTGCCAACAAACGCCAGGTCACGGCACGTCCATGCTGAGAAAAATCTTGGAGACCTTCAAAGACCAGGATGATGCGTCACACTATCTGAATACCGTATACCAAGGATTCACTTTTTAGCCCGCTCTGCCCCCTACCACTTAATTGAGTAGGCGTCTACTTAAGTAAGCTACTAGCTACTGGATACAGGATAGCTCACGCTATTTTTTGCTTGGTTCCTAGATGTTTGGAAAGAACAAGGCGTTCAGACCTCCTTCCGCAGCTCCAAGTTCTTGCCCTGATCCGAAGCCTTTTCAATGTCAGCCACTGCCTCAGCCAACTTTCCAACAAAAATATGAGGCAACAAAAACTCTATAAGACTCTATTGCCAGTTTGGCTCTTTATAAGCGAACACCGTCGGCAGCACCTTCTGTTAGTGCCTGGCTTTCCAACTTCGAGAAGGAGGAGGCAAGGCCCTCAAGCCCTGTGTTACTTCCCCTCAGAAGTAAAGCCTTCACAGCATCTAGTGTTTGGAGCTACTTAAGGCAAAGAAGCGGGTAGAGAAATTAATGTCCTAAACACACAGCAGCGGGCAAAATACAAATAGATGCAGTATCACACCCTTCCAGTGCAAGTAGCGCTACAAAACTGGACACCAACAAACTAAATAGACTTAAATAGACTGCATAAGTTGCACCAAAGGATCAGGTCAACGTTTTTGTGCACCTGCTAAGCATGACAAATCTGGTCTCACCACATCCACATCTCATCAGCACATCATCTGCACACCAGCTCCTCCTACACCCATCAGCCCTGATAGCAGTGGCCTTGAGTACAACATTGATTGTTACATTTTGTGGAGAAGAATAATGCAAGTAAATATGGACTGTAGTGCAGCTATTTGTGGAAGTCTGCCGAATGCTAGACCTGCCTTGTGCAACTGTGCAAAGAGCACACACACACACACCTTGTCGGCTTTTTTGTGCTCAGCCCATCGCTGTGCCAGCTGGCAGTAAAACCTGGAAAACATTTTATCGGCGCACGTGGCTTTCCCACGAGAGATGTAAACTTGGCCATGTGTTGATGATTGTAGACATGATTTCAAACACCCAGATCCACTTCTCCATGGCACTGGAATCAAGAAGAATATTGATTAAAGACAGGCCTTGCCCTCTGCCAGAAGGCTGCCAGGCATGAGGGTAACAGCACCTGCTTTCCCTTCCACATCCAAAACCTGGCACTCGCTAGTCCGGCAGTCTGAGGGAGTCAAGCACGAGCTGCTACTGCTAGTGCCCACCGAAGGTCACTGAAGGGGTCTTCTTACCTTCTTTTCTTCTTACTAGGAGCAAAGGGCATCGCTACTGGGAGCAAGGACGCTACGCTACTAGTTAGTAGCTCCTGGCCTTACCACTAGTAACAAGAAGCTACTAGGAACAAATAACCCTTCAGCAGACTTGTGAGTCCTACGGTCCGATCCATTTGCAGTGCTCAGTGCCATGAGGGTCCGCTAGCCTTTGAGGAAGGAACATGCCAGTGCTGAGCAAAAGCATTTGGGAGGCCTTTGAAAATGAAATGATGCAACACATCTGTGACTTTGGAGGCCATCGCTCTTAGGAACAAGAAGCTACTAGGCGCTCCTGGCCTTGCTACTAGGAGCAAGGTACTAGGGGCTCTTGGCATCGCTACTAGGAGCATTCTTACTTACTATCTGTGACCATGCTGAGCCTCAATTTCTTTAGGTCAGGACTGGCGTGGAGGTTGGTCAATTGCACCTTCGACAGTAGCCCAAAGTCCTTGCAATCTGCTGGGGGTTGTACTTCACATCTTTGTGCACCTTTTGTGAAATCTGCAAAAATATGTCAGCGCGACTGCACCACAAGCTCGCCAGGAAAGCATCAGTATCACATTGAATCTGAGGATTTGACAACTGAAGCTACCCGGGCCTACAGTCAAGAAAACTTTGAAAGGTGTCTGCTTGCAAGCACCTTTGGACCTTTGGACAAATACATACGTATATTATCTATATACACACATATCCCTCGCTGTTGTTTTGCCGCTCTGGAGACCAAGCAGGGCCACAACTGCAAACCAGCATGCAATGCACACTCCAATGCAACGCTCAACTGTAGTTGTCTGCAAGTGTCTTGGGAAGTGGGACAAAGATGTTTCTTGAGCGGTGAACACTTTTTAAAGCTGGGACAGGTGAACCTCTCCAACGCAAGGCTCAACCGTCCACCTGCTTGCCCCCACTTGAGAAAATACATGGAAAGTAATCTATATAGTATGTTGTTTTTCACATTGGTTCGGCCTGAAACCGAGCAATGCAAAGTGGCGGGCCAGCAATTGCCTGCCGCATAAGATCGCTTTGACTCGAGGGCTAACCAGAGTTTGAATCTAAAATTATGATGCCAAAGCTTCTTGCGGACTTTTTTAGTAGTTCAAACCGAGGGTCGAAGGCGTTCAGTCAAGAGTTAAGATGTCCCTGCATGGTGAAATCCTCAGAATTGACGTGATGGTCTGGAGCATTTCGCCTTGTCAGCACTTCACCAAACACAGCTCCGCCTCAGGATCCACCACACAGGTGGCGTTGAGTGGATGAAGTTGACAGCGGCCTGAGTTCCTCAGGACATAGACTACTTCAGCGACAGGAACACTCAAATTGACGAGCTCCCATAAACACACCCATTCTGGCTGTCCGTGCCCCATTCTCCCAAACATGACTAAACATGTGATTGACTTTTCGACCGACCCTCACACATCTTCATCTGAACATGTTGTAAGCATCAATGTCAATGTAGATAATCAAAGTCATCACCTCTCTGCTAGCACCGCTGCAATCACTGGCTTGTTTCTCTTCACTGGCTCTACTCTCGAGCACCTGGCCTCCTGAAGCTGAAGAAACCACAGCCCAGGGACTGATGGCACCTTGCCTCCCAAAGCAAAGTAAAACAGAACGTGACAAAGTACATTTCCCCCCGGGCGAGGGGGGTAGGGCCGTGAAAAGGCAATAGCTAGGTAGCTAGTAGCTTAAGTAGCTACTACCTGGAACGCAGGATAGTTCACGCTTCTTCAAGGAAGCTTCCTCCGCCTGATAGCGGAGGGCAGCTTTCTTGAAGAAGCGCTCGCACTATTAATTTGCTTCCTAGATTGTTATGGAAACTTAACCTTGAAATCTCAACCAAGCGTGTTCCGCAAGCTCATTGCATGGTACACCGAGTACTTCATTCATTGTTTGATCAAGTTGGCAAAAGGCACCTGGCACCCAGCTATTCCCTCCTGACAAAAAACTTCAAACTTCAATGACTGGGCTGGTTGACCGATTGATAGGTTTCTAATTCCAAATCTCAGCTTAGGAGCAAGGACGCTACTAGGAGCAAAGGGCATCGCTACTAGGAGCAAGGACGCTACTAGGGGCTCTTGGCCATACTACTAGGAGCAAGGACGCTACTAGGGGCTCCTGGTGATCATAAGTTTCAAGAACAAACAATGTGGGCAACCCAAAACACACCAAATGTTGACTATGTGTCGATGTAGCGCCCCATTCCTCTTTGTGCATCGCAAAGTGAGTGAATCTTGTTGGCAAGAGAATAGGTGCGCACTCCTCCTTGCTTTCTTTGAAGCCAGGAAGAGCAGGAGAGTATGCCTGAACTCACAAATAAGCTTTTGCTCCTAGGCAAATGCGGCAAAAAACAAAATAACTGGGATGGAGTCGGCCCAAGACTGACACATTGCATTTGTAGGGCGGAATCTTAAAGAACAAATGTATTGTCACGTCTGCCAATCTGAAGTCAACTTGACTGTCTCATCTACCATTTCAGGAATTTGACTGCTGACAGGTAAAAGAACCCATATTGAAGCAAACATGCTGCACTGGCATCGAAATCATGCCAGGCGAGCCATGCCAAACAATGGGCACCTGAGTAGGTTGAAAGCCAAAGACATGTCACGCGACCCGCATGCCAAACATCATCGGACAGGGCTTGGGAGCTCACCCGACGTGATTTGTCGGATCTTCTCGAACCTGCATAGTCACAAGAAACTACTAGTAACAAAGGGCATCGCTACTAGGAGCCAGGACGCTACTAGCAGCTCCTGGCATCGCTATGCCGCTATTAGTAACAAGAAGCTACTAGTTGCTTTGAGGAACTACAACTGTGGCCAATGGGACCGGGACTGCCAAATTCCAAATGGACTTGGTCACAAATTCCATGGGCCATAACTTCTATATATAACTGACACAACCGTCTTCACATGCTGATGCTAAGCATATCAACCTTGTCAAGCAAACGTTCTTGGACCTCCTTGTAGTGGGGTGGCAAAGTTGTGCTGACTTCGGCATTGGCGTGGGGGCCACCCGGCGCAGCCTGACAAAAGTAGTCGCGTCACACTGTAGACACGTCAGCAGTGACAGAACATACGAAGATCTTGAAGAATCCGCATGTTCTGCAATCTACAAGTCCGCACAATGCGGGGCTAAATGGAATAAAGCACATTAACAATGAAGGTTGGTGTAAGCTTCAAGTGTACCTTTGACAGCCAAAAGCAATCCAAGCAGGGCACAATAATGAAAAAGCGAATCACCTTGATCAGATTGGTTGCTGGATGACTGTCAATCTCCAAGTTGGGAGCCAACCCACACTCAACCCGGTTGGACATCGAACTGAGTGAGCCCAGGGTGGATCCTTCTCTTGGAACTTGGTTGCACAACGGCAGCGGTACTCAAGGCAGTCTGAGAGCAGCCATGCCCCTATGAGGACGCGGCGACGAGAGACGGTTGACAGCACAAAGTTCCACATGCATTAGGAGGATTCCAAAGGTGGTACTCGACTGGTCATAGCCAAAGTCAAGTCAACCACTTTGCACGTGACAGTGTCGACGTATCACTTAGCAGGCACCCAATCTTCCAAAATGATCAGTCACCTTTGAGCAGCCGCGAAAAGGCGCATAAAATGCACCAAACTTGCAGGGCAAGCTCCTTCCCCTTCTCTTTCTCCTTCACTCTCGGATACCGCCCATTTCTGTAGTCGATTGGACCTCTTGTCTGGTTGACTGGTGACACCCTCTTTAAGAGCACATTCACGGGCACACGTCAACAAAGGAGGACAACGTGATCCAAGAATCGATAGCAATACAATGTCCTTGCTCTTTTGGAATGCAGCAACAAACTTGAACATCCTGTAAACACTCAGGTCCTGCAAGAAGACAGATTAATTAAAACTCTGGTATTAGCTGTTAGCTTGATCAGCTGGCAATCGATCAGTGTTGATTGGGAACGATCATGAAGTCGTGCCAATGAAGCATCTGCCCTGCTACAACTGACCTGATTCAAAGCAAAAATAAATCTGCTTGGCAATGCTTCACATTCTGCTGTTGGTTTTTACCAGCCTGCGCAATCACCACTGGCGCGCCCTGAGGTTGAAAACAAGCAGTGATAAGACATCTTGGTGTAGCTTGTAAAATGCAGAGTCTTCAAGCTTGCCTCGGGTTCAACAAATAACTTCCCTGCCTGGCAGCCTGGTGTGAGACTCATTGAATCTCTGGAGCAAAGCTCCTCTCATATCAACTAGCGGCAAGTCAATTCATCCCCAGCACCAAGTACCAAAGACACACAGCAAACTCGTGACGCAAACACATTATGGTGCGCTCCTCTACGGTAATTCCAGCAATGCATGACAAGCATTGAGCCGACCTAAGAACTGCTACATATATGTGTACAGTGCTTACCCTTCCACCTAAAATATTGTATTGCGGCACTCACAAGTGTCTGGGCACAAAGCACTTCATAGCAGCAATGGGTATGCACCTTGAAGCTCTAGTGTGCTTCACACTCACATTCGAAAGCAGGATGAATCTACCATGAGCTCCGTGCATGTTTAGCAGGCAACACCACAGCTGAAGCATATGTGGATGTGGCAGTACGCGTTGAGATAGTCGTCAGTTGCGACAATCTTGAGGACGTAGTGGTTGAAGCCAAGCTTGTCCATGAACTTGATCCACTAGATGTTGTTCGCGTTGTTAACGCAGTAGAGGAAAGCAACGTTGTCGACGAGACTGGTGTTGTGAATGTGGTCAATGTTGATGTGGACAATGTAGTCATTGTGGTAATTCTGCTGGATGTAGTAGGGGAGGTAGGAGCGCCTCATCAAATCGATTGGATGCACACAAAACAAGCGAGGTCATACGTAGCTTGTGCTAAGCCAACTGCTTGAAGTTGATCTGAACGTGCTAGAAGTAGGAGTGTTGTGACCTTGAAATATGCAAATCCTGCTACTGGCTACATTTTGTGACTTGTCAAATTGAAATCCATATATTCCAAGGTCGACACAAAGTTTGAATAGGGATTCAAATTCTTGCCTTGATGCTTCGGCACTGCAAGCAGTCCCAAAAAGAAGAGAACTTGCTGAGAGACAATAAGCTCAGATGCAAGCTTGCTAATGCTGTCATCTGCATCAGCATCAAGGTAGTGGAAAGCAGAATCACTGGAGGGTTTCCTAGCACATAGCTTAACCGCCCCAAGAATCTCGTGTCTATTGCAGCCGTTGTTCTAACAATTTGATGTGCTTCCATTCCCAAGTAAGCGGCGAGAAGTCCAAAGGTGGAACGTATCGCGACCAAACCAAGTCCCACCTGACATCAAAAGACAATGAGCTTTTCCACAAGCCGTCATGAAGCTGCAAGGGAAAAGAGGGAAAGCGAACGCCATGAGGACCCCGTGAATCCAAAAACAGCGGCCCTGAGGAGTCCACACCTGTTGTGACTCTGTGTCTTTCTTTGTTTGCCCGCCCTAAGGGACAAACTTGTTCGCTCCTAGCCTAGCTACTGAGAAGCTACAAATAGTAATTGGACGCAAAATAGCTCACGCTTCTTCTTCAAGGAAGCTGCTTCCTCTCGCACTAAAGAAAAGATTTGGCGCCATGATCTTTCTGGTTTTCAATCAGTTAACTCATTCTCACCTTGATCGGTTCATGGCGTCAGTGGCGCCAGCTGTTAAAGCCTCGATTGAACACAGCATGGTGCAAAGCGGAAAGCCACAGAAAAGAGTAGCATATAGTAGCATCTTTAAGTTACCTTGGTCACATCGCCACGTGCAACCGTGAAAACCAAACCAACAAACACAAAATGAATGTGGGCAAGGTATGGCAAGGCAGAAACTTAAGCGAAGAACCACGAGATGTATGTGACATGACAATAGAAGAAGACACCATAAATTGCTGAGGTGACAGCCCAGGCTTGGCTGTTGTTCCAAAAGCGATCATGCAAAGACCTCATAATGTCATAAAGCATGCTGCGTCATGTTTGTCTCGAGCAGTTTGAACAAATGGACTGAGCGCGACACACACAAAATGGAAAGATTGAGAGTTCCTCCAGCACTCAGTGTTTCACTTCAACTTGCATGGGAGAGTTGCAGGAAACTAAGATTAGGTCTGTTGCTGCCAGACTGAATGCAAGTTTGAACTCGGGCTTGGAGATCAAATCATCCTCAAGCAGTGCAAAATATGTAATGATATGTAATGTTTGTGCCGTACTTATGTGCAGTATTTGCCAGCCTAAAAATCCTGCTGACACACAGCTTCACACCCATGCAATTCATCCTCCTGTTGCAATTGGTCAACGTACTTGAAGGTTGCCTTCGCCTAATCAAGAAGACATTCAATTAGCAGTTTGTGCAACAAATGCTGAAGAAACGTCCCGCCTCCTGTGCAAATGTTTCAGATGCAAGTGGCTGCCATCTGCCAACATTGCGCCACCTCCACAGGTTCTTTGTTTCACGGTGTATTCTGTGGACATCCAATGTGAGCGACAAGCCTGGGCCATAGATATTCCCAGCCCGTTAGACGCAATACATCTACCTGACACCGCAAATAGAAAAAGATGCCAAACGCAATCACTGCTTTGTGCAGTTTGAAAGCTGGGTTCTAGGCTACACTGTGGTTTTTCTCAACCTCTACAGAGACATTCCGGCAGTCAGCCTCCCACGCGCCTCACAATCGTGAAGGAAACACAATCTGACTGACTGTCTTGTGTCTCAACTGAGGTTGCAGCTATCTGCTGTGTCGTGCCGTGAAGATATCCATGCACTCCAATTAAATATAAGCGCTCGCGCCACTTGTGGGGAAATCCTCAAATGAGACACAATTCTGAAGAGAATGCTGGTTGGCTCTGTTGCCGCCATGATGCGAAACATTCACAATGGAGCTGCTCATTCGCCATGGAAACGATTCGCAACGCCGCCCACTGAATCATTCATGAAAATTCCTTTGTCACAATCAAAAACCAAATTTCATTCAAAATGCAAATCTGTTTATTAAATGCATGGTCAAGACATATGTCCTGATCAACCCTCCACAGTGAAAGATTTTTGAGCCGCAATCATCTCATCAAAAGCTGAGCATTTCATTTCTGCCATACACTGCTCTAGTTGCCAGCGGGACTCACCAGTGCAAGTCTGTGCAAACAGGTGAGGTAAATTGTGTTTCTTCATGTTTCTTCAATCAGCCTGGAGATGGCAGCCTCAATGGTGCAGGACCGCTTTACTCCAAAACTCACCACACGCACACAAAAACCACATTGGCAGCAGTCTGAGGGTTTCTTGAAGGAGTGGAAGATGGTCGAAAAAAAGGGACATGGCAACTTCTGGGACAGCCGTTCTGTGTTGCAGCGATGGAGATGATTTTGTGTGAGTGGGAGCAAGGGTCTGCTGCGCTGTTTTCACATGGCGGGGGATGAAGTCACACACAGGTGCGAAGCCATGGCGGAGCCGGTCAGTCCGAGACAGGGCAAGCCTTGAGGTCCACCAGGCACCTCATGGACAGCAGGATGACCAGCGACAAGGAGGAAACAGGTGGGCAATGCACAAGGGTTTCGTGAGTCGGTGGCAGACCTTACGGTGAATTACACTTCCCGTGGGTCTTCAAGTTCACAACACATTCTCAAAATAGATTTGGAACTCCAAAATTCACTTCCCATTCTTGAAACCTTTCAAGCCAACAACAACTCACACTGACTCACTCACACTTGAGCGAAAACTGCACGCTCGTTTCATCGCAAAACCCCAACCATCCACCCCAAGACATTCACAATCGTTCCTGCTCTACGATGTCTCGCAGCAGTTTGCACGTTTCAGGTATGTGCATTCTTTTACTTCGTGTTGCCAGCAGCGTTTGGGTGCATGATGGTTTCGGGATCTTACCCATGGCGACCTATCGCCTGGGTTTCCCGTGATCCTTTCGACCTCAATAGTTTCATGGCTCGACCAAGCGACACGAAACCGTACAGATTGAGAGGGTCCCTGAAAAAACTAGTACCTTAAGTAAGTAGGTTACAAACGTCCTACACACAAAGCGAAAGCACGTGCAACAGCTCACAAGCAACGCGAAAGCACTCGCACACCTTTTACGCGCACTCTCTGGGCCTTGAGCCAAAGTAAAGTACAAAAGGCTATGAGGTATTCCTGCATACAAGCTATTCCCATGCGAGACACTGAAAGTGTCGAGTTTAAGCGCACTCAAACATGCACAAAACTGTTCAAGAAACATTCACACTACAAAAGCTACAAAGACTTGTGTTCACAAAGATTCCAAGCATTGTACATTCCATGAGCTCTGCTCTCGAAACACAAAGTTCCTGCAACGAACGCTTGCTCAAACATTGGAAATGCAAAGCCTCACAGCTAGGGCTTCACAAAGCACTTAGGCATGAACGCTACTGTTCTCAAAACAGTTGTTCTGCACACAGTTCGTTGTAAACTGACCTCGCCACTAGTGTAGCACGGCCATACACTTTCACACCCCCTTTCGAGGTCAAGTGTCAACATCATTCTGCTGCTTGGGATTCTCCTCACGCCTCGTCTTCAAACACTTCTTGCATAAATGAAAGCGAGACAAAGCACGGCCTTGGGCATAGCTGCAGAACGGTGTCAGGTGCAACACTGTTCCCTTCTCAGTTCGATAGTATGAATCATGCATATCGAGCCAATCTGCGAACACTGGCGGGACAATATCGTTCACTTCAACGCTCACATCTCTTGTACTCCTCCTTCCCATTGACTCAAGCTGATTCCTCGAATCAACAATCACCTGCACTGAACGGCAACATAGCTTCGTCAGAATTCCTCCAACGAATATGCCACTCGCGAAAATGAGAATACATAGAATCTCAAACTCTCGCCCATCCACATAAGCAGTAATCACGGCTGCCTCCATGAACGGCGACGAAAACGCGAACGCGCGCACAAATAGCTGCGGATACAAGCAGTCAGCTAGCACAGCAAGCACAGCGAGCTTGAACCACACACAAAACAGAATAGAATAGAAATTGCAATTACTCTGAATCTCCAGACCTCCATGGCTTTGCCAATAAGACCTTCTGATCTCCGGTTCCGATCTTCTCTTCAAGAGACATTCGACCGACCTCGAAAACCTCAGACTCTCAGACTCATCAAAATCTATCTAATATTCCTCTGACATTCTACATTCGACCCTCTTCTCAAAGAAAACCTCGAAAACTCAGACAAAAGTCTCTTTTCGCGACGATCGAAGAAGCTGTGCTGCAAAAAGAGAAAACACCCATCATGGTGTAAGATCCATCTCGGACCTATCTCAAATCCGGCAGCATCCGCTCATGCATGTCCAGCCTCATTCCTTAGAACCCGAACGAAGTATCGAGCGAACACACGGGTGTATCGTTCCGTCTCTGTCCAATTGACATTGTTGAAAGCTGCATGCTCGACAATGCACTGACAATTGAACCTTTCCGCTAACCTGTTTGCAACCTCCTCTCTATTTGACATAAACCTGAACCTCTTTCCAACTGGTTGTTGATCTTTGGTAAACATCTTCATTGAACATGCGTTCACGATGCCTTCAAACTCTAGATGTTGGTTCGACAAGACCTTTTTCAAGACTTCCGACTTCCAGTACTGATTGTTTGCTGGTAGTTCTAGGCTCTTGGAAACCTGACCATGAACCTCCACAACCTTCTTCAAAAGACAATCGACTGAGTTGGCTAGTTCTTCAAAGATCTCGACATGTTTCTCCATGAGAAATGTGAATATGTATCTTGGTTCCGCACTGGCCAAGCTCAAATCGACGGCGGACCTCTGGCTGGATCCTGCGTCCCAGACAGAAGACAGAAGTTCAATGATTTCCATCTGAACTGACTTTTCCTGAAGACAATCATGGCATCCAATACAAGACACACCTACCTCCATACAAGCCTGCCTCAGACATGAATCTCGACCACAACAGAGTTCGGCAAAAACCATGTCTTTTCCATGTGTGTATGTGATTGCTGAAGACTTTGACGGGACTGTTGCAGACTGCAGCTGGCTGGCTCCCGACAATTCCTCAAACTCGTGAGAAAACTCATGCGCCGATCATTGGTCATCGGTGTGACGCTGCCCGCTCCCAGACAAGCAAGACATACCTGAGTCTCATGAGCTGCTGTTGTGGGCGGCACTGGCACTGCTGGTACCGCACTCGTCAACAGCGCCTGTGTCAACAGCGGCTGAATGGGAGCTGCTGCTGGCGCAGTCGGTGTCGTTGGAGGCGGCGGCGGTGGCGGTCCTCCTGATGTTTGCAATGGATGCGTGGTCCGGTCTCGGCCTGGTACAGCTCGTCGTACTGGACGCGGCGGCGGTCCCATAGGTTCATCCGTTGGATCTTTCTTCTCTTCCCTCTTCTTTTCCTTCTTCTTGGACTCTTCCTTCTTCTGAGGCGCTTCTGAGATCACTTCCGATTTCACAGATTTCAGCTCCTCTGGACCGAATCCTTCCCGTTCACACGGCCCAATGCATGATTGCCGTTGCCCTGCTGCCCCTTTGGCCGTGTTGGCAGAGCGTTGGCGCTCTGTCCTCAGTCCTCTCTGGCTGACTGCCTGACTTTGGCGTGGTGGTCTTTTCGGCCTCACGCTGGCGAGCCCTTTTGGGATGGGATGGCCCGAAATTCTTCCGAATGGGTCACGACCCTGCTTGAAGACTTTTCTTGCGACCCCGCTTCAATCTGGTAGTTCGTCAATGCGTGGAAGCAGGTCACAATAGATGGCACTGCCAGAGTGGCACCTGTCCAAGATGCCCAAAAGCCGTGCTTTTTTTTTCCACGAGCACGGACGCCATGTGGGCGGTGTGCCCAGGTCATCACAGAAGGATTGGAAACTCTGCATATTGGTGGGGGAGACAACAACACAATGTCAAACCTGGACGCAGGCGGTTGTCCATGCAGGCCAATCAAAGGTGGCCTTCGTGTACAGGCAAGGTTGTCATCCTTGCCAGCCTCGGTCACAGGCACATAATAAGCTGGTGCGAAAGTTGCAGCACAAAGGATGACGATCGCCAAAGGTCATCAGTTGCAATGCTTTGCTGGCCTTGGAAAACAACCTCTCAGAGGCACAACCCCCATAAAAGACTGCACGAACGAAGATTTATTCCACGAGTGCGGACGCCATGTGGGCGGTGTGCCCAGGTCATCATAGAAGGATAGGAAACACTGCATATTGATGGGGGAAACAACCCGAAAACGCCAACACCAAACACCCAACAAAACCCCAAAACCCAAAACCAAAACAGAAAACAAAAGCCACCACCAAAGATGTGGGCAGTGATTCCTCTGTACTGAAGTGAGACAGGAAAACGCTGCTGATCGTGGGTGGTTGCTCTGATCGGCCAATCAAAGGTGGCCTCACTCCGTTGGCAAGGATGAGGTCATCCAAGCCACTTTTGATGGTTGGCACTCGAAGTATTTTGACATCATACGAGGCACCGAGAGCAAAGTCAGCAGTTGCCAAAGAGTCATCAGTTACAAAGCATGGCAAGCCGTGGAAAATTCCCTCTCCGTAGCACAATCCATACTACTGACTGCACATACGAAAAGCAGAGGCTTATCTTGAGTGTGGCAGTGGAAGGCATTGCAACGAAAGGACTGCCAACGACGTGCTGATTTCCCTCCCACCAGGGAGGCACAACACACACCCAATGGCTCCCACGCGTCAGCCAAAGGGGTTGCAGGGTGTTCACTCTTCCATCAGATAGTGAGCATTGAGGTCACCATCCTTCAACATGCATGGCCCATGTGAAACTGGTGAGACAGAGACCTATCCTGGCATGGTACTTATGCCATTTGTGCAAGATTGGCTGTGGTTCGGCTCCCGCAGACGAGCAACTGAGGTTCTCCCTGGGCGCCATCCATCAACCGCACCCGCCTTCCATGGACAAGAGGGGCTCCCATCCCCGATGAAAGCGAGAAT